TATTTTATTTTATTTTATGTTTATTTTATTTTATTTATTTTATTTTATTGACGGACGGAGTCTCTCTCTGTTGCCCAGGCTGGAGTGCAGTGGCACGATCTCCGGCTCAACTACAAGCTCCGCCTCCCAGGTTCAGCCATTCTCCTGCCTCAGCCTCCCGAGTACAGGCGCCCGCCACCACGCCCCCAGCTAATTTTTTGCAATTTTTTAGAGATGGAGTTTCACAGCCGGGGCGGTAAATAAAATATAGAATAGAATAGAATAGTGTATTTGCTTCCCTGATGGCACCAGCCACACTTCCAGTGCTCAGTGGCCCTGTGACCAGTGGCTACAGTAGTAGACAGTGCCACATTGAAAATTTCCTTCATCTCAGAATAACAGAAATGGTCAGCACTAATCTAAAATGAGATTCATCGGCCAGGTGCAGTGGCTCACACCTGTAATCGCAGCACTTTGGGATGCTGAGGCGGGTGGATCACCTGAGGTCAGGGGTTTGAGACCAGCCTGGCCAACATGGCCAAATCCCATCTCTACTAAAAATAAAATAAAATAAAATGTGTCAAATTCCTACTCATGCTTCAAAACCCCATCTCCCTTGCCTCCTTTTACATGCAGCTTTCCTTGATTCCTCCGACAGAGCCCCAAGTCTCCCTCTATGTTCCTCCAGCCCCAAGCCTCTCATTCTGTCCTGTACTTGCTCATATAGCGAAATAGGGTGTGGGGGTCCGCTTGTGCCGGCTCATACAGGGAATCCGGGTTGGGGGTCAGCCTGTGCCAGCTCTGTCTTCCTGGGCATGGGTTGGGCCAGAGCTAAGGTCTCCTGAGAGCCAGCACTGCCTGACAGGAGACTGTACCGGAAACTTCTTTTTTTCTGAGACGGAGTCTCGCTCTGTCGCCCAGGCTGGAGTGAGTGGCGCAATCTCGGCTCACTGCAAGCTCCACCTCCCGGGTTCACGCCGTTCCCCTGCCTCAGCCTCCCGAGTAGCTGGAACTACAGGCGCCCGCCACCTCGCCCAGCTAATCTTTTGTATTTTTTTTTAGTAGAGACGTGCATGCTCTGAGGGCACCGGCCCTGCCAGTCCCTGATCTCCTGACCTTGTGATCCGCCCGCCTCGGCCTCCCAAAGTGCTGGGATTACAGGCGTGAGCCACCGCGCCCGGCTGTACCGGAAACTTTTTAATAATTTATTATTATTAGTTTTTGAGATGGAGTGTCACTGTGTCGCCCAGGCTGGAGTGCAGTGGCGCGATCTCGGCTTATTACAACCTCCGCCTCCTGGATTCAAGTGATTCCTCCCACCTCAGCCTCCTCAGTAGCTGGCATTACAGGCATGCGCCCCCATGCCCAACTAATTTTTGTTTTTTTAGTAGAGACGGAGTTTCGCCATATTAGCCAGGCTGGTCTGGAACTCCTGACCTCAAGTGATCTGCCTGCCTCGGCCTCCCAAAGTGCTGGGATTACATGCGTGAACCACCCGGATTTTTATATTTATATTTATTTATTTATTTATTATTTTTGAGACAGAGTCTGTCGCCCAGGCCGGAGTGAGTGGCGCGATCTCAACTCACTGCAAGCTCCGCCTCCCGGTTTCGCCATTCTCCTGCCTCAGCCTCCCGAGTAGCTGGGATTACAGGCACCGGCCACCGCGCCCGGCTAACTTTATGTATTTTTTGTAGAGACGGGGTGTCACCACGTTAGCCAGGATGGTCTCGATCTCCTGACCTCGTGATCCACCCGCCTCGGCCCCCCAAAGTGCTGGGATTACAGGCGTGAGCCACCGCGCCCGGTCTTATTTATTGATTGTTTTATTTTTATTTATTTTTTTTTATTGATTTTTAAAGACAGGCTCTTGCTCTGTTGCCCAGGCTGCTGGAGCGCAACGTTGTGATAACTCACTCCCGCCTCGACCTCCTGGCCTCAACGGATCCTCTCCCTTCGGCCTCAGCTTCCCAAGTAGCTAGAACTCCAGGTGCAAGCTACCGCACCCAGTAAGAATCCTATTCTCTTTTGGACTAACAAACTCCTACTCATCCATCAAAGCCCCAGCTCCAAAGGCCCCTTCTCCGAGGAACCTGGCCTGGTTCCCTAGTCCACCTCCCAGCTAGTAGAGCTCCCTGGGAAGGGGTTAGACGCCTCTAAGTGGCAGAGAGAGGCCCTCATTCCTGCCCCAAAGGAAGCCTTCTCCCCTCCCCTGTGTGGCAGAAGAGGAGTCTGAGACGGAGAAAGAGGGAGAGCCGCCCAGGAGCTCTGAGCAGGGAGCCGGCAGGAGCGCCACGTCCGGGCGGCCTTGGTCCCTCCCTGCCTCAGTTTCCCGTGGCGTCAAAGCGGGCGAGCGCCCCTCCGGGCCTCTGGTGACGGGGGTGCAGTGCCCGGGCGGGGGTCCGGGGGCGACCGAGGGGGCTCAGGAAGTCCGCGGCCGCAGGAATTCGGCGCCTCCAGGCCTTATAAGGACATTTGCGCTCCGGGCCAATCAGCGGCGGGGGCGTGGCGCACGGAGCCCAGCGCGTCCCAACCCCGCGCCCGCCCGGCGGTCCCGTCCCGTCCCGTCCGGCCCCGTCCCGCCGCCCGCCAGCCAGCCATGAGCTCCACGCAGTTCAACAAGGGCCCCTCGTACGGGCTGTCGGCCGAGGTCAAGAACCGGGTGAGTGAGGGGCGCCCCCTTGTCCCCCCCAACAGCGCGGCCGTCGCACGCTCGGACCCGTGCAGGAGCCCCCCAGCCCCCCAGCACCTCCCGGGCAGGGAGCTTGGAGACCTGGGGCGGAGGGGCCCTTGTTCTCCCTGACGTCTGGAGGGGGGATGTCTGCGGGCACCCCCGAAGCTCCCGCGAATCTAGGGGAGCAGCCAGGTCTGAGATTCCGGGGGAAGAATGACCCCATTCATCCCCCAACATCTAGGGGTAGTTGGGTCTGACGTCCTTCCCTTGCCATGGCCCCAGGACCCCCACGTGTGAAGGCCCTGGCACCCTCTCAACCTTGGAGCAGGTCCGTTCAAGGGCCCACAACGCTCTGGGGATCTGGGGGGGACCCCAGCAACCCTGTCATCTCCGGGCCACACTTCTGCTTTTGGGTCCTCTCAGCTTTGGGAGGGGAAGGGGCAGGGCCGAGTGGTTTTTGAGAAGTGTTACCCCCCCACACAGGAATTTCCTGGCCTCTCGGACACCTTGGGGGTGTCCTGCAGGAAGAAGTGGTAGCTGCTTTGCATGTTCACTTTGTCCCCATCTGACGAATTTAAACGAATAACAAAGAGGTTCTCTGAAGGTGGCCCTAAGATGTGTGGGGTTTTGTAACCTGTAAGCAAGAGCTGGGGCCTGGCAGGTCGCGGTGGCTCACGCCTGTAATCCCGGAACTTTGGGAGGCGGAGCTGGGTGGATGGCTTGAGCCCAGTCTGGGCAACACGGTGAAACCCCGTCTCTATAATTTAAAAAAAAAACAAAAAAGGCCAGGGCTACGGGAGACACTTTTTAAGAAAGCACTTGTGGTTCTGGCTCAGAGAAGGCCAGATGCTTCGCAGGGTCACACAGCAGGGTCCTGGACAGGATTCCTAGGGAAAGTGGGGGGCGGGGGCTGTGATGCCAGATCCACAGAGAGGACTGGGACCTGACCCTCCAGGATCTTCCAGCTGGAGGGGGGTGTCGTCCCCGCCCACCCCCTCCCCCAACGCCCACTGGGCACCTGGGAAGGTGTCCTTACAGCTGGCTTCTGCAGGGGAACCTGCCTCTGCATGCTCTGAGGGCACCGGCCCTGCCAGTCCCAATAGCCACCTGCCCCGGCCGCACTCCAGGGCCCACAGACTGGAGGGAGAATTCCTGCTTCTCCGCTGTGAGCCCCTCCAAGACTTCAGACCAGCTCTTGGCCAAAAAGGGAGACTGAGGGTTGGGACAGCGAAAGCCTGAGCTAGGGGCTCACGACTCCTCTTTCAAGGGGCCATGTGCACCCTGCAGTCACAGAGCCCCCCGTGTAGTGGGGTGGGCACCCTCTTGCACCCCGCACACAGCCGGCTAAGGGTACCAGTGTCCTTGGGGACCTCAGAGACGTTGTTCCAGCTGCCCAGGGCCACACAGCCCACAAGTGGCAGGGCCAAGACCGGCCCCCAGTACCTGCTGGGCCTGCGGAAGTAGGAGAGGGTACAGGAGGGTGGGGCGGCTTCCGGAGATGGGGTGGGGTGGGGGCAGGTCGATACCTGCCCTGGCGGGGGTGAGGGCAGAGGCTGGCAGAGCTGCTTCGCAGGCTCCCCGCGCAACCCTCAGTCTGTCTCTTTGGAGGATGGGCGAGGTGTCGTCCAGCTTGCCAGGGTCACGGAAGGGTCGCAAACCAATTAGACACCAGCTTCCCCTTGGCTTCCGCTCACACCCGCTTTACACCCGCTCTCTTTCTCCCCCGCTCCCCCGTGGCTCAGTTTACGCCTGGCAGGATGGCACGGAGGCGGCTCGGATCCACCGTGTCTGTGGCCTTGCATCCCGGCTTGGGGGTCCGGACCCGCTGGGAACAGCTGGTTCAGATTTAGCCGGGGAGGCAGCGTGCATTCCTGGCAGTTTGTGGTGAACAGGAATGTGCTGGAAGGCCGGCAGCCGGGCAGCGGGGGGCGGGGGTGGGGGGAGGATGGCGGCCGCTGGGGGCGGGGCCAGGCCAGGCGCCTCTGCCAGGGACCCCTGGGCCCCTGAGCCAGCAGAGATGTGGTGCAACTGGGCAAGGCAGGGCTGAGTACCCAGCAGCTGCCTGTTCTCATTCCTCGGGATCAAGGTTGCTGGCTGGGTGGGGCTGCCCTCCAGGCATGGGAAGCGGAGCTGGATGGGCTGTGAGCTGGTTTGGGGGGGCCTCCCCGCCTTTGCCTCCTCTGGGCTACGGGCTCTTTCCACACAGGTCCAGGTCAGGGGACCCTACCCGAATAATTCCAGGCAGGTCCAGGTCAGGGAACCCTACACAAAAGATTCCAGGAAGAGATGAGGAAGCAGAGGCTAAAGGGAACTGTTCGTGGGAACCTGGGGAGTTGGGTGCAGAGCAGGGAGAGGGATTTGATTTGATCCTTCCCTTGCTCCCTTCCTCCCTCCCTCCTTCCCTCCTTTCTTTTTTTTTTTTTTAAGACAGAGGCTCGGCCGGGCGCGGTGGCTCAAGCCTGTAATCCCAGCACTTTGGGAGGCCGAGACTGGCGGATCACGAGGTCAGGAGATCGAGACCATCCTGGCTAACACGGTGAAACTCCGTCTCTACTAAAAAAATACGAAAAACTACCCGGGCGCGGTGGCGGGCGCCTGTAGTCCCAACTACTCGGGAAGCTGAGGCAGGAGAATGGCGTGAACTCGGGAGGCGGAGCTTGCAGTGAGCTGAGATCGGGCCACTGCACTCCAGCCTGGGCGGCAGAGGGAGACTCCGTCTCAAAAAAAAAAAAAAAAAGACAGAGGCTCACTCTTTTCCAGACTGGAGTGAAGTACCCCGATCTCGGCTCACTGCCTCCTCCACCTCCCGGGTTCAAGCAATTTTCCTGCCTCGGCCTCCCGAGTAGCTGGGACTGCAGGTGCACACCACCACGCCCAGCTCATTTTTGTTTTTTAGTAGGGACAGGATTTCACCATGTGGGCTAGGCTGGTCTTGAACTCCTGACCTCAGATGATCCACCCGCCTTGGCCTCCCAAAGTGCTGGGATTATAGGTGTGAGCCACCACGCCTGGCCCCAACCCTACTTTATTTTCCCTCCAGCCTTTATCTCCTGCTCCCGCTACACAATTTGCCCCTGTGCTTATGGTCCCCTATATGCTTTGCCGTCTGCCTCAGTGCTGTCTCCGCGGTCACTACTGGCTGGATAGGGATGCTCAAGGTCCCCACCAGTGCACACCCTCTGCCCAGGAGCACACAGCCCATTCCCCCATGGCGGTGTCTCAGAGCACCGAAGGCCAAGAAAACTAGAATGGCCAGGTGGAGGAAGGTGGCAGGGAGTCGGTGGCAAGGAGCCAGGTGTGTGACCAGAGGCGGTCAGCCTCCGGGGCAACTTCTTCGGGAGTTGCTAAGAAGCAGGATCCGGTCCCGGCACGGTGGCTCACGCCTGTAATCCCAGCACTTTGGGAGGCTGAGGTGGGCAGATCATGAGGTCAGGAATTCGAGACCAGCCTGGCTAACATGGTGAAATCTCGTCTCTACTAAAAATAAAAAAAATTAGTCAGGCGTGGTGACACGCACCTGTAGTCCCAGCTACTCAGGAGGCTGAGGCAGAAAATCGCTTGAACCCGGGAGGCGGAGCTTGCAATGAGCCGAGATCGCACTACTGCACTCCAGCCTGGGCGACAGAGTGAGACTGTCTCAAAAAAAAAAGAAAAAAGAGGTGGTGATTGCACAACATTGCAAACGTACGAAAAGCTGCTAAATGGTATACTTTCAGGTGGTTGAAGTGGTAAATGTCATGTGTGATGTCGCGGGGAGGTGAGAAGGCAGGGCGCGGGGGCAGATCCGGCCAGGTGTGTCCTACACCCAGAGTGGATTAGAGCTGATGTATATCAGTGAGTGCTGAGACGGTTGTCCGCCGGCTTGCAGAGTGGTTTATCTGTGCCCGCCTGCAGTGGCTGGGGTGCCCCTAATGATGGGAAACGGGAGGATCTGTGTGGGTGTGGTGAGGGGGAACCTCCAGGCCCCTCTGTCTCCTGTTGCCCTGGAGTCCCCGGCCCCACCCTGTCCAGAGCTTCTGGGGGACTCCTGCCCGGGGTGCCCCCACCCCAGCTCAGTCTCGTGCCCTTTGCTCCACCAGCTCCTGTCCAAATATGACCCCCAGAAGGAGGCAGAGCTCCGCACCTGGATCGAGGGACTCACTGGCCTCTCCATCGGCCCCGACTTCCAGAAAGGCCTGAAGGACGGAACTATCTTATGCACGTGAGTACACGCAGGGACACGGGCTGTCTCACACTTAACGAATCTTGGGTTTTTGTTTTTTTTTTTTTCCACTTTTTGTGGAGACGGGGTCCTCGCTACTATTACCGCAGGCAGGGGTCTCGAACCTCCTGGGCTCAAGCTACCGTTCTTTTCTCCGCCCTTCTGGCCTCCCTGGAAAAAAGCTGGGATTAACAGGTGTTGCAAAGCCGCCGCGCCCGGCCGAATCTTTGGTTTTTTTCTTCACTTCTTTTTTTCCTTTTTTTTAAATTAAGAAATTTTTTGGGCGCCGCGCAGCTCAAAAACACCTGTAAAATCCAGCATTCTTTTGGGAGACCCCCGAGGCGGTTGGAAATCAACGAGGTTTTCAAAAGGAAGTTTTTCGAGACAGCCCTTGCCCCACCACTGCCAACAAACCCTTGTCCCTTCTTCTCAAAAAATTACAACAAAAATAAGCCCGGCGTGGTGCTGCCGCCTGTAAGTTCCCAGCTACTCCCGGGAGGGCGAGGCAGAGGAATTGCTTTTGAACCCCGAGGTTGGGAAGGTTTTTTTTGTTCCGTTGAGCTTTTTATGAGATGTGCCATTTGCAAACGTCCAAGCCGGCAACAAAGCCAAGACCCCGTCTTCAAAGGAAAAAACAAAAAAAAAAAAAAAAGTTTTTAGCTGGGCCGTGGTTGCGTAAATAAATTTTTAAAAAAAATTTTTTTTTTGAAGATTGGAAGGTCCCCTTAACTCTGTCGCCCCCAGCTTGGAAAATGCAATGGCAACGATCTCGGCTTTCATCAACCTCTTGCCCCTCCCCAAACGTTCAAGTTGAATTTCCCTCCTGCCCTCAGCCTCCCCGAGTTAGCTGGGAAAATTTGAACAGGCCGATGCACACCACGCCTGGCTTTAATTTATTTTTTTTGTATTTTTTATTAGTGAGAACCAGAGTTTTTTATTATTCTGCCAATGTTTTTGGCACAGGCTGGTTTATTTTGATTCCACCTCAGAAAACACGTGAGATCTGCCTCTGCCTTGGCTTTCCAAAGTGGCTGAAAGAATTACAGGGCCTGAAAAGCCCCCACCAAGACCCGCAAGAAAATTTAACTTTTTAATAACAGTGGAAACCTGAGGCCCAGATGGTGCTTCCGCTTGGGTTAATATCAAGCAACTTGTTGGGAAATGCCTTTAGGTCTTGGATGGATTCAAAAACGAGGTCAAAGGAAGTTCCAAAGACCAGCCTGGACAACATAGGGAAACCCTGTCTCTACTAAAAATGCAAAAATTAGCTGGGCGTGGTGGCGGGTGCCTGTAATCCCAGCTACTTGGGAGGCTGAGGCAGGAGAATCACTTGAACCCGGGAGGTGGAGGTGGCAGTGAGCCTAGATAGCGTCATTGCACTCCAGTCTGGGTGATAGAGCCAGACTCAGTCTCAAAAAAAAGGAAAAAAAAAAGAGTGGAAACTGAGTCCCGGGGAGAGGCAGTGAGTTTGCCCTGGAAGGCGTGAGCTTGGCTGAGATCAGCATCGGGCCTTCACGATTCTTCATTGTTCATGGAGGTTTCTGTTCCCCCCACCCCATATTGTGCCCTTCAGACTCATGAACAAGCTACAGCCGGGCTCCGTCCCCAAGATCAACCGCTCCATGCAGAACTGGCACCAGGTGAGGGGCTGGTGGGGCGGAGTAGGGATGGTGCTGGGGGCCCATCTAACAGGTGGGGAGACTGAGGCCCACTCACCGTCCCTCTCCTGCCTCCTCCCAGCTAGAAAACCTGTCCAACTTCATCAAGGCCATGGTCAGCTACGGCATGAACCCCGTGGACCTGTTCGAGGCCAACGACCTGTTTGAGAGTGGGAACATGACACAGGTGCAGGTGTCTCTTCTCGCCCTGGCGGGGAAGGTGAGGCCCAGAGAGGGGCAGCCACCTGCCCAGAGTCACACAGCAGGGTGGATGTAGCTGTTGCATTCATGTGTTTGCAAATTTTTGTTTGTTTTTGAAACGGAGTTTCCCTCTGTCACTCAGGGTGGAGTGCAGTGGTGTGATCTCAGCTCACTGCAACAACCTCCGCCTCCCAGGTTCAAGCGATCCTCCTGCCTCAGCCTCCCAATTCGCTGGGATTACAGGCACCTGCCACCACGCCCGGCTAATTGTTGTATTTTTAGTAGAGATGGGGTTTCACCATGCTGGCCAGGCTGGTCTTGAACTCTTGACCTGGTGATCCGCCCACCTCAGCCTCCCAAAGTGCTGGGATTATAGGCATAAGCCACCGAGCCCGGCCTCGTTTGCAAATATTTCTGAGCATCCACAAGGTGCCAGGCACTTCGGATTCCTTGGTGAACAGGAAAGGCATGGTCTCTGCCTTTATGGAGTTCAGTCTGATGGGGGAGGCATGCAAAAGTGAATACAGCATTTTATTATGCATTATATGTAAGCTCTGGCCAGGCGTGGTGGCTCACACCTGTATTCCCAGGACTTTGGGAGGCCGAGGTGGGAGGATCACTTGAGCTCAGGAGTTCGAGACCATTCTGGCCAGCATGGTGAAACCTCGTCTCTACTAGGAATACAAAAATTAGCTGGGTGTGGTGGCACGCGCCTGTAATACCAGCTCCTCGGGAGGTTGAGCTGAGGAGTTAGAGGTTGCAGTGAGCTCTGACCGCACCACTGCCCTCCAGCCTGGGCAACAGAGCAAGACTCTCTCAAAAAATAATAATACGAAAAGTAATAAATAAGCTATAAACTGGGAGAAATGCCTTGAAGGAGAAGAATTAGACCAATGTTGAGCATCTAGTGACCCTCAAGCCCAGACCAGGAGGGTGGGTGGGACGGTGTCTGGTGTAGACCGGGAGCGTGGGTGGGACGGTGTCTGGTGCAGTCCGGGAGCGTGGGTGGGACACGGTGGCTGGTGCGGCCCGGGAGCGTGGGCGGGACACGGTGTCTGGTGCAGTCCGGGAGCGTGGGCGGGACGCGGTGTCTGGTGTAGTCCGGGACCGTGGGTGGGACGCGATGTCTGGTGTAGTCTGGGACCGTGGGTGGGACGCGGTGTCTGGTGTAGACCCGGAGCGTGGGTGGGACGGTGTCTGGTGCAGTCCGGCAGCGTGGGTGGGACGCGGTGTCTGGTGTAGACCCGGAGCGTGGGTGGGACGGTGTCTGGTGCAGTCCGGGAGGGTGGGTGGGACGGTGTCAGGTGTAGACCGGGAGCGTGGGTGGGACGCGGTGTCTGGTGTAGTCCGGGAGCGTGGGTGGGACGCGGTGTCTGGTGTAGTCCGGGACCGTGGGTGGGACGCGGTGTCTGGTGTAATCCGGGAGCGTGGGCGGGACGGTGTCTGGGGCAGTCTGGGAGCGTGGGTGGGACGCGGTGTCTGGGGTAGTCCGGGAGCGTGGGTGGGACGGTGTCTGGGGTAGTCCGGGAGCGTGGGCGGGACGCGGTGTCTGGGGCAGTCCGGGAGCGTGGGCGGGACGCGGTGTCTGGGGCAGTCCGGGAGCGTGGGTGGGACGGTGTCTGGGGTAGTCCGGGAGCGTGGGTGGGACGGTGTCTGGGGCAGTCCGGGAGCGTGGGTGGGACGGTGTCTGGTGTAGACCGGGAGCGTGGGTGGGACACGGTGTCTGGTGTAGACCCGGAGCGTGGGTGGGACGGTGTCTGGGGCAGTCCGGGAGCGTGGGCGGGACGCGGTGTCTGGGGTAGTCCGGGAGTGTGGGTGGGACGCTGTCTGGGGCAGTCCGGGAGTGTAGGTGGGACGGTGTCTCGCGCAGAAGGACCAGTAAGGTCTCGACATTGGAACTGGCTCGGGCTGTTAGAGGAACGGGGAAGGGAGTTGGTTTTCTCCTGGGATAACTACTCCAAATGGTGTTTTCAGAAGGCCCCGTGGCTGCCTGGTAACCTCACATGGGGAATGGTGGTCAGGGAGGAGTTGGGTGCAGGCATCCCAGTGAGGGGCAGTGCCAGCGGCCTTGCCAGGGTGCCCGGGGATTGGGTAGGAGCAGGTGGTAGAAGGTGAGAGAGAGAAGGTGAAAACCGCCTCCCCATGCCCACAATTCTTGGCCTGAGCCCTGGAAACCTGAGCTGTTGCCTAAAGCGAGGGACACTGGGATGAAACTGCCCCGTGGGCCGGGCACGGTGGCGCACGCCTGTAATCCCAGCACTTTCGGAGGCCGAGGCAGGCGGATGACTTGAGGCCAGGAGTTCAAGACCAGCCTGGCATCATGGTGAAACCCCGTCTCTACTAAAAATACAAAAGTTAGCTGGGCGTGGTGGCGGGCGCCTGTAATTCTAGCTACTTGAGAGGCTGAGGCAGGAGAATCGCTTGAATCCAGGAGGAAGAGTTTGCAGTGAGCCGAGATTGCGCCACTGCACTCCAGCCTGGGTGACAGAGCGAGACTCCATCTCAAAAAAAAAAAAAAGGGCCGGGCGCGGTGGCTCACGCCTGTAATCCCAGCGCTTTGGGAGACTGAGGCGGGCAGATCACGAGGTCAGGAGATCGAGATCGTCCTGGCTAACACGGTGAAACCCCGTCTCTACTACAAAATATACAAAAAAAATTATCTCGACATGGTGGTGGGCGTCTGTAGTCCCAGCTATTCGGGAGGCTGAGAAAGGAGAATGGCATGAACCCGGGAGGCGGAGCTTGTAGTGGGCCGAGATTGCGCCACTGCACTCCAGCCTGGGTGACCACAGAGCGAGACCCCGTCTCAAAATAAAATAAAATAAAATAAAAATAATAAAATAAAATAAAAAACTGAAACAGCTGTATGATGGGTGTGTAGAGTGTGTGGAGTCCCAGACACCCTCAAAACATGCCTGAGGGGCTCTGCGCGGCAGGCGAAGGGGACAAGCTGTGGCCTGGTCTCTGTGCCGTCCTCAGGGCCTGGATCTAGGGTCCCTGGCTGCCCTCCCCTGGTACTCCCGGCCCTTTTCCCTCACCCAGGCCAAGACTAAGGGGCTGCAGAGCGGGGTGGACATCGGCGTCAAGTACTCGGAGAAGCAGGAGCGGAATTTCGATGATGCCACCATGAAGGCCGGCCAGTGTGTCATCGGGCTGCAGGTGGGTGACAGCTCCCCCAGCCCCAGGGACCACAGCATTGGGGGATGATGGTGTTGGGGGACAGCGGCGTTGGGGGACAGCGACGTGGAGCCCTGTGCTCCCTCAGGTTTGGGGAGGGACTGGAAACTTGTTGGGTGCAGTCTGACCTCTCCCGCGAACCTCCCTGCAGATGGGCACCAACAAATGCGCCAGCCAGTCGGGCATGACCGCGTACGGCACGAGGAGGCATCTCTATGACCCCAAGAACCATATCCTGCCCCCCATGGACCACTCGACCATCAGCCTCCAGATGGGCACAAACAAGTGTGCGAGCCAGGTGGGGCTCGTCCGGGTGCCCCAGACTCCTCTCCCTGTCCCTCCATAATCTGTGGTCTCGGCCCCTCCCCGAGGTCACCTCTGGCTTCCCTCCAGGCTCTTGGTCTCAGCCCCTTCCCTGGACCACCTCCGGCTTCCCTCCCCGCTCTCCGTCTCAGTCCCTTCCCTAGACCACCTCCCACTTCCCTCCCTGCTCTGTGTCTCCGCCTTGGATTTCAACCTCTGTCGTTTCCACCTGGCTGTGGGTGCCTGGGGAAGTTACTACCTCACCCTGTCTCATTTTCCCTTAAGGACTGCCCAAAGGTCCACCCAATTCTTCTTCTTTTTTTTTTTTTAATCTTTATTTATTTATTTTATTTTACTTATTTATTATTTATTATTATTATTTATTTTATTTATGTATTTATTTTGGAGACAATCTCACTCCTGTTTGTCCACGCGCAGAGGAGCGCAGTGGTGCAATCCTCGGGTCCACTGCAGCCCTCCCCCCCCCTCCGGGCTCCATGGTGATGCCCCCAAAATCTGGGATTACAAGGCGTGAGCCACTGCCACCCCAGTGAAAGGTCCCCGTCCCTCTCCACCGTGACCTGCTCCACCCTCATCTTCCTTTCTAGGTGGCCATTGAACGGCCGCGACTCCCCGGACGCGCGGCCGCACAGTCTTATGACCCCAAGCTGGGAACGACAAGTGTGACACCTCCTCCATGTCCCTGCAGGATGGGCTACACGCAGGGCGCCAACCAGAAGTCGGCCAGGTCTTTTGGCCGGCCCGATCAGATATATTGCCCAAGTATTGCCACACAAGGCCACGTGGCACGCATGGCGGCTCCCTCAGCGCCCGGCGACTGCCCGACCAAGGGTAGCTCCCTGAAATATCCCCTCATTACTAACCAGGAGGAGGCGGCTACCTGAGGCCTTCCCAGACGCTACTCCCTCTTCCCACATCATCTCCCCTTGGGTTTTTTGGGTTTTCTGTGTTTTCATCTTGTTTTTTTTCAGCCGGTTCAGTGCTGCAATTCCACCCGAGGGTCTGGTGAGTTGGCAGTTGGGATCAGGCAGCCAGAGCTTTTTTCCCCTTTGCCTTGGCCTTCGCAGGGCTTGAGGCCACCGGGTGTGGGGGAAGGGAGGTCAAGGCATATCCCAATACTGTAGGCCGTGTAGGGGCGAGGGTCCCTGCTGGCACGTTCAGGCTGTGCTGGGGAGAAGAGACTAACTGGTTCCCAAGGTTTCTGGTCCTCGCCTCCTTCCCCCTTTGTCAGCTGAGCAGTTGTGGTTTCTCTGCAAGTTTCAGGAGAAGTATCTCACAAAAGAAAAATACATTTGCCTTTTTATCCTGAGGAACGGGGCAGGGACAGTGGAGAAGGTGCCTGGGAAATCAGTCCACCTGGAAAGGGGGCCGCCCATGATGCTAAATATCTCCAGCTCCCGAGTGACCTGGATTTCTCCAGGACCACAGACTCAGACCCTCAGACCTGCCAAGCCCAGGTGGGGAAAGTGAAGGCTGTACGAAGGGAAGTGAAATTCTGAGTGTTTCGGGCTAAAGCCTGATCCCTCTCATGCCTACCTGCCCCAACCCACCTCTGGCCTCAGTAGGTTTTTTTGTTTAGTTGTGCTGTCACCTAGGCTAGAGTGCAGTAGCGCAATCTTCGGCTCACTGCACCTCCATCCCGGGCTCAAGCCAATTCTCCAGCCTCCAAGCCTCCCGAGTAGCATGGGACTGCAGGTGCTCCACCCACGCCCGGCTTAATTTTTGTATTTTTAGTAGAGACGGGGCGTTTCTGCTAATGGTTGGCCCAGGCTGGTCTCGAACTCCTGGCCTCAGATGTGATCCACCCGCCTCGGCCTCCCCAAGTGCTGAGATTATAGGTGTGAGTCACTATGCCCAGCCCCTCAGTAGGTTTTAAGGAGCCCCCAACCCCCCTCCTTTCTGGCCTCAACAAGCTATACTGCTCCATCTTCCCCTGGCCACACGCCCCGCCAAGCACTGCACAGGGACCCCCACCCAGGAGCCCTGCTCCATGAGATAATGTGAAATACGATTGTGGACCAAACACAATAAAACCTCTGTTTGTAAGAAGAGAAAGTGGCTGAGAGAGTTGGCGTCGATCAGGGCGTGTTTTGCTTTGATGCTTTTGTGGGTAGAGGGGGGGATCTTGGGGGATGGAGGGATCAAGGGGAAAATGTCCAGCTCACCACTGGGAGGAGGAGTAAAAGCTGAAGCCACAGGTGAGTCTGGGTGGAATGAATGATTTGAAGGGCCGGGACTTGGGGTAGAGGGAGAGGCTGGGCTTCCTGGCCAGTTGGAGAGGAGGCAGTTGCCTCAAAGGCTCTCGATGTGCTCCGACTGCACCCTGCCTCACAGCGCAAGCCTCCTGGCCTCAGCCTGGATGTCTCCCCGCCAGCGAACTCCTATTTATCCCCAAAGCCCCAACGGCAGTGCCACTGCCTTCCGCCACGGGAGCCCTCCCGGCGCTTCTCACTCTCCCCAGCGCTTTCAAAGCTGTGGACCCACACACTCCCATTTCAGCTTCACCTCCAGCCTATGAAATAAACTCCTCTTCCCGAGTGGGAAACGGGTTTTCCTCAAGATCAGGGTAACCCATTATGACTTGAGCCTCTAGAATGTTGGCCCCCCCTCCTTCTGCCATCGCCTTGTCCAACTGCAGAAACCGAGAAGCGTTCGTGGAATGAATGAACGAACGAATGATTCTAGTGAAACCCCCACTTTACAGACGGACAAGTAGAGTCCCAGAGTCTGGACTAGACTAGAGACAGCCTGGCCAGCCCCGGGGACAGCAGGGACAGAGGGAACTCCTGCAATCCGGAGCTGTGGTATTGCAGCCGGCTATGCAACGTAGGGAGGCAGCCTGGCTCCCCAAAGACAGCTCAGCCTCTTTCCCGGAGGCCGGTCCGCCTGGGACCAGCCGGGCACCCCGCCACCCTACGGTGATGCAGCAAGGACCGCGCGGTCCCTTTAAGAAACCCGGCTCAGCGAGGCCCTTCTGTGATCCCGCCTCCTCCCTCGGCTCGCGCAGCTCCGACGGAGCCGTCCCGTGAGTGACGGGCAGGCCGCCCAGTAGCAGCGTGCAGAGGCAAGGGCGTGGCCCGGCGCTGCTAACTGCGCGGGGAAGCTCGGGGCACTTGGCTTAAGTAAGGGCGCCGCGCTACCTGCCTGCTGCTGGGCGGGGGGAAGGCGGCAAGAGCTGGGGAGCGCCTGGAACGGTGAGAAGGACTCGCAGAGGGAGGAAGCCCCGAGACTCGAGAATGCGGGGTTGGGGCCGGGAGGGATGCACGTTCCCTGGGAATTAGGGGGTCCAGTCTCTGACCCTTCCTTTCCTTCCGGTGAGTGTTGAGGGCGGCTGCATTGACCACTAATTCTCAAGGAGGCCATCGGACATCTAGGACTCTTAAGAGAGCCTTTGCCAATCACACACCTGCAGCCCCCGGCCCGTTAGAACTGCACTCCCCCCTTGCCCTATTTTACAAATGGAGAAACTGAGGCCGCTCCCCCAGATCCTAAGTCCCGCTTGATGTAAAGGAAAGAATCCTGGCGTAAGGGTCTGGGTCCGAGGTCCCAGCTCCGCCCCGGTCACCTTTAGCAACTTCCTGCCCCTCTGTCAGCTTCAGATTCTCCATCTGTGTCAGCGGTGAACCGGCCCATTGTAAAGAGATCAGGAATCGCTGGCTCCAGGAGTCCCTATCCCAGCCCCTTCGCCTGACTCTTTCTCTGGCTCCCGCGGTCCTTCTGAGAGATGATGGTACATAAGGTGTGGGCAGAGCTGGGGTCGTGTCTCCAGCTGTGCGACTGCCTCTCTGGGTGCCTGCGTTTTTTCTCTTGGGCCTCGGTTTCCACTTCTGTAGAGTGGGGTGATATCTAGCACTTCCTCTGGGCGTGTGAAATGTCCAGCGCTGCCAATATTTGTCGCTGTTATTTTTGGAGAACAGTGAGGGGAAAGGAACCCTTGCCTGGGCTGGGCCAGGCAGGAGGCTGGGGGTCAGGACCTGGAAGAGGCTTCCAGGTGAGGCTTGGGGTGCAGCCTGGTGACGACAGCGCTAAGCCCAAACTCGGTCCCTGGAGGATTAGAGGATGGTCTTTAAGTCCCCAACTGTCAGCTCTGCGCAGAGCGACAGTCCTGGCAGCCAATGAGATGCGAGGACGGCTGCGGGTGGAGCTCCCATTGGTTTACTCCACCCCTGGGGGTAGCAGAGTCCCTTTATCAAGTGACTAGTGTTTGCCTGACTCTAATCAGAGCTTCCAGGAACGCTGCGCTGTGGGATAGAGGAATGAGGTACAGAGAAGGGCAGAGTTGCCCACAGCTGCATCACACATCTTCAGCCCGACCGTTGTCCTGACCTCTCTGTCCCATCCCCCGCTCAGTCTCACCATGGCCTTCTGGACACAGCTGATGCTGCTGCTCTGGAAGAATTCCATGTATCGCCGGAGACAGCCGGTAACACCCCAGTGTGCGGCCAGGGCCGGGTGGGCCGGCAGCCCCTACTATCCCCCACCATCTCCCACCTATTCTCCCCCAGGTCCAGCTTCTGGTCGAATTGCTGTGGCCTCTCTTCCTCTTCTTCATCCTGGTGGCTGTTCGCCACTCCCACCCGCCCCTGGAGCACCATGAATGTGAGCCCCCCAGCGGCCAGGCACTTTGCCTGTGTAGGGGAAGGCAGACGGGTCCCCCGAGCACAGGGATCCCCAGTGCATGTCAGGGAGCCTTCACCAGACGGCCAATACATGGCATGGGAGTGAGCTCTCCGTTGCTGGAGGCATACAAGCAGTGCCTGGCGACCCGATGGGGGTGGAGTCAGACAGAGTCCACAGGGCCTCAGCACCGGGCATCTCCCCACAGGCCACTTCCCCAACAAGCCACTGCCATCGGCGGGCACCGTGCCCTGGCTCCAGGGTCTCATCTGTAACATGAACAACACCTGCTTCCCACAGCTGACACTGGGCGAGGAGCCCGGGCGTCTGAGCAACTTCAACAATTCCCTGTGAGCCAGAGGCAGTGGGTGTGGCCGGCCTGCAAACGCGGGGCTGCAGTGCCTGCCGGAACCCTGCCTCCTGCCCTCTCTCTGTCCCCAGGGTCTCCCGGCTGCTAGCCGATGCCCGCACTGTGCTGGGAGGGGCCGGTGCCCACAGGACGCTGGCTGGCCTGGGGAAGCTGATCGCCATGCTGAGGGCTGCACCCAGCACAGGTGAGGAGGCCGGGGGGCCTCTGGCAGGGCTGAGCTCTGAGCCTCGACTTGCCCAGCCATGAAATGGGCACGGGGGGGGTGGGTGCCTCAGGCCACCGTTCCCCCAGCCCCATGCTCCTGTGTGCTCCTCCCCCAGCCCGGCCTCAACCAACCAAGGAGTCTCCACTGGAACCACCTATGCTGGACGTCGCGGAGCTGCTGACGTCATTGCTGCGCACGGTAGGGTGTGGGGACGGGACCGCGCTGACTTCCTGGGACACTGCACTGGGGATGTCCTGGCACTGCACCACCCCAGGCCAAGGACCTCCCGTTCCAGGCATCCAGGCTCTCCCTGGTCCCTGCAGTGATGCTCCTTGTCCTGTCTGGGCCCAGACAGAGTGTGTCTGACCCGGTGATGAAGACTCGTCTGTGAGATCTCGAATGAGTCCCTGTGTCTCTCAGAGCCTCAGTTTCCCTATTTGTAAAGTGAGGGCTATGATAGTATGGTCTGCCTGGGAACTGGCCAGAGCGCTGGACCCCTAGTGAGCGCTCAAAGTCATTGTCACCCTTGTGGTCTTTCTCCCCAGGAATCCCTGGGGTTGGCACTGGGCCAAGCCCAGGAGCCCTTGCAGAGCTTGTTGGAGGCAGCTGAGGACCTGGCCCAGGAGGTACGAGGCCCCACCCATCCTCAACCCCCATGCAGGCAACGTTGGCAGGCAGCCTGCACCGGGAGGGTCTCGGGCAGCCCGGACACTTCTCTTGGGTGGGTCTTCAGGAGAATTAGCAAGAGAGGGAGAGGCTGCCCCTGACCTAGTGCCCTGCCCTGGTTAGGGCTTGAAGTTGGGATCGCTGCCAGCTCCGTCTGGTGACTTCTCTCTAGATCCTGGCACTGCCTAGCCTGGTGGAGCTTCAGGCACTGCTGCACAGACCCCGAGGGACTGGTGGGCCCCTGGAGTTGCTGTCTGAGGCCCTCTGCAGTGCCAGGGGACCTAGCAGCGCAGTGGGCCCCTCCCTCAACTGGTACGAGGCTAGTGACCTGATGGAGCTGGTGAGGCAGGAGCCAGAATCGGCCCTGCCGGACAGCAGCCTGAGTGAGTGACTGACCTTGGTTTCCCCTCCTGGGAAGTGGAGCGGTGGACATGGGGGCAGGGCCTCATGGCACCTCCATCCCAGGCCCCGCCTGCTCAGAGCTGATTGGAGCCCTGGACAACCATCCGCTGTCCCGCCTGCTCTGGAGACGCCTGAAGCCTCTGATCCTGGGGAAGCTGCTGTTTGCACCAGATACACCTTTTACCCGGAAGCTCATGGCCCAGGTAGGGGTAGCCTGGATGCTGGGGCGGGAGGGTGGCAGCCAGAGCCTATCCAGTACCCTCAGTCCAGTAGGTCAGAGCCAGGCCAGAGGATCATGAAAACTGGGTTTGAAGAAGTAGGAGTTAGCTGATGGAGGGAGATCAGCACGTGTGTAGGATCATTAGTGGAGGGGGTGCTGTCCGCAGGTGAACCAGACCTTTGAGGAGCTGGCCCTGCTGAGGGATGTCCAGGAGGTGTGGGAGGTGCTGGGACCCCAGATCTTCACCTTCATGAACGACAGTTCCAATGTGGCCATGCTGCAGGTGTGTGCGGGGCTGGGGAGGCGAGATATGGCTCCTTGGTGGAGAGGGCAGACGGGCCCGGTGGATGGGAAGGTGGGCTCCATGCAGACCCCACTTTGGTGTTGGTGGTGGTTTTTTTTTTTTTTTTTTTTTTTTTTTTTTTTTAAAAAAAGAGATGGAGTCTCGCTCTGTTGCCCAGGCTGGACTGCAGTGGCGAGATCTTGGCTCACTGCAACCTCCGCCTCCCGGATTTGAGCAATTCTCCTGCTTCAGCCTCGAAAGTAGCTGGGATTACAGGCATGTGCCAACGCTCCCAGCTAATTTTTGTATTTTTAGTAGAGACCATGTTGGCCAGGCTGGTCTGGAACTCCTGGCCTCAGGTGATCCGCCCACCTTGGCCTCCCAAAGTGCTGGGATTACAGGCATGAGCCACTGCGCCCGATCCAGACTCTCACTTTCACCTGCGCCCCCCAGCGGCTCCTGCAAATGCAGGACGAAGGAAGAAGGCAGCCCAGGCCTGGAGGCCAGGACCACATGGAGGCCCTGCGATCCTTCCTGGACCCTGGGAGCGGTGGCTACAGCTGGCAGGACGCACATGCTGATGTGGGGCGCCTGGTGGGCACGCTGGGCCGAGTGGCGGAGGTGAGGGGCCGTCCACCTGCGGGGTCTGTTTCAGCGTGGAGGCAGTGCCCATCCTGAGGTTCCCACCCTGGTCTTCCCAGGGGGAGGGAGGCAGGCCTGGCCTTAGTAAGAGCCTGGGATTTGCAGAGATCTCAGGAGGGAGCCGGCCCCACACTGGGCCTACAAGGGGAAAACATGGCACAGCCCCGAGGTCCAGGGGGAGCAGCGGAGTGGTCTAGGAGGCAGGCAGACCCCAGCTCCTAGGACTCACCCCGCATCCCACAGTGCCTGTCCTTGGACAAGCTGGAGGCGGCACCCTCAGAGGCAGCCCTGGTGTCGCGGGCCCTGCAACTGCTCGCGGAACATCGATTCTGGGCCGGCGTCGTCTTCTTGGGACCTGAGGATTCTTCAGACCCCACAGAACACCCAACCCCACACCTGGGCCCGGGTCACGTGCGCATCAAAATCCGCATGGACATTGACGTGGTCACCAGGACCAATAAGATCAGGGACAGGTCCGGCGAGGGCGGGGGGGAGGGGGGAGGGACTGGGCGGGGCCAAGAGCGTGGTGGGTGGGGCCAGGCAGCATTCAGCCTATTGGAGACCATGATAGACAGGATCTGGGCTTATCAACAGCGGTATAGTAGCCAGAGCCCAGGGCTCCTTAGACCAATAGGGGCCCGTGATAGGCGGGGCCTAGGTGCATGAGGGGCGTGGGCGTGGGCCTGGGATAAGATTAGAGCAGGTATAGGTTGAGGGCAATGGTGGGCGGAGCCAGGTGTATCATTACACCCCTGGAATAAGGGTGGAGCTAAAATTGCACCGGGTGCTGAGCACAGTAGATCCCGCCTGTCATCTCAGAACTTTGGGAGGCCAAGGTGGGAGAATCTCTTGAGGACAGGTGTTCGAGACTAGCCCGGGCAATACAGTGAGGCCCCCGCCCTCCGCCACCCCCACCAACCTCAAGAAAATTGTCTTTAAAAATTAGCCACCATGGGCCGGGCGCGGTGGCTCACACCTGTAATCCCAGCACTTTGGGAGGCCGAGGCGGGAGGATCACGAGGTCAGGAGATCAAGACCATCCTGACTAATATGGTGAAACCCCATCTCTACTAAAAAATACATAAAATTAGCCGGGCGTGGTAGCACACGCCTGTAGTCCCAGCTACACGGGAGGCTGAGGCAGGAGAATCCCTTGAACCCGGGAGGCAGAGGTTGCAGTGAGCCGAGATGGCCGCACTGCACTCCAGCCTGGGCGATAGAGCGAGAGTCCGTCTCAAATAAATAAATAAATAAATAAGATTAGCCAGGCGACTTGGGCGGCTGAGGTGGGAGGATCGCTTGACCCTGGGAGGTCAGGGCTGCAGTGAGCTATGATCGCAGCTCTTCACTCCAGCCTGGGCGACAGGGCAAGACCCAGTCTCAGAAAAAAAGTTATTCAAGGCGGGGCCCCGAGAGTTTCTAGCCCTTCCCTACAACCTGCCACCATGCCCCTCTCGCAGGTTTTGGGACCCTGGCCCAGCTGCGGACCCCTTGACCGACCTGCGCTACGTATGGGGCGGCTTCGTGTACCTGCAGGACCTGGTGGAGCGCGCAGCCGTCCGCGTGCTCAGCGGCGCCGCCCCCCGGGCCGGCCTCTACCTGCAGCAGATGCCCTATCCGTGCTATGTGGATGACGTGTGAGCTCTGGCACCCCTCCCCGCTGTCCCCCGCGGCGGGAAGGTCCTGGGTGTGGGGGTGGGCCCAGGCTCTGTTGGGAACCTTCCTGCGGTCCAGGCTGCGAACTTGGCACCTTTACACCACTCCACGTGACCTGCTGCAGCGGGAGGAGCAGGGGACTCTGAGGGTCTGGGGTCTCCCGGCGCAGGGAGAGCCTGGCCTGCACTGATGCCTGGGAGCCCGAGGCTGGCTGGATCAGGGTCCAAGGAACAGGGAGGCGAATCTTCCCGTCTTGAGATCCCGGGACACGAACCAGTCGTGCCAGATGGTGGGGGGAGTGGGGCAGTCTGCGGAGGGTCTCTGGCCTCCACCCCAGCCGTCCCCACCCCAGGTTCCTGCGTGTGCTGAGCCGGTCGCTGCCGCTCTTCCTGACGCTGGCCTGGATCTACTCCGTGACGCTGACGGTGAAGGCCGTGGTGCGGGAAAAGGAGACACGGCTGCGGGACACCATGCGCGCCATGGGGCTCAGCCGCGGGGTGCTCTGGCTCGGCTGGTTCCTCAGCTGCCTTGGGCCCTTCCTGCTCAGCGCCGCGCTGCTGGTTCTGGTGCTCAAGGTGGGTGCGCGTCGGCCTGCCCAGTTGCAGAATGAGTGCGCAGGAGGGTGGCAGGCAGAAGCTGCCCCGCGTGGGTGCGCGCCCCCGGCCCAATCCAGGAGCTGGACCTGAGCTCCCGTCGCCTCCCACAGCTGGGGGACATCCTCCCCTACAGCCACCCGGGCGTGGTCTTCGTGTTCTTGGCGGCCTTCGCCGTGGCCACGGTGACCCAGAGCTTCCTGCTCAGCGCCTTCTTTTCCCGCGCCAACCTGGCTGCGGCCTGCGGCGGCCTGGCCTACTTCTCCCTCTATCTGCCCTACGTGCTGTGCGTGGCTTGGCGGGACCGGCTGCCGGCGGGTGGCCGCGTGGCCGCGGTGAGAGCCCGGTCGGGCGTGGGTGGGGGACGCCCCCCGCCTCGGCCACTCACTGACCGCCCGCTTTTCTGCAGAGCCTGCTGTCGCCCGTGGTCTTCGGCTTCGGCTGCGAGAGCCTGGCGCTGCTGGAGGAGCAGGGCGAGGGCGCGCAATGGCACAACGTGGGCACCCAGCCCACAGCAGACGTCTTCAGCCTGGCCCAGGTCTCTGGCCTTCTGCTGCTGGACGCGGCGCTCTACAGCCTCGCCACCTGGTACCTGGAAGCTGTGTGCCCAGGTGGGCCGTAGGGCACGGGGCTCTGGGCCAGGTCGCACCTGCTTTGCGGGAGGATGGGCTAGGGGCGGGACCTCCAGGCGGTACCAAGAGACTTATTCCCTTGGAGAGAAGGCGGGGCTTCCTGGCACAGGCATGCAGGTGGCTGCACTGGAGGGGTGCGGCCTGAGGCAGGTGGTGGGTGGGGTTTCTTGGCCCCTACACCTGGACGCCCTGATTCCAGGTGTGTGGCCAGAAGCTGGCACAGTCGCTGGGCGCTGTGACTCACACTTGTAATCCCAGCACTTTGGGAGGCCGAGGCGGGAGGATCGCTTGAGTCCAGGAGTTTGAGACCAGGCTGGGCGACATAGTGAGACTCCATCTCTACAAAAAGTTAGCTGGGCGTGGTGGCACGCACCTGTAGTCCCAGCTACTTGGAAGGATGAGGTGGGAGGATCACTTGAGCCTGGGAGGTCCCGACTGCAGTAAGCCGTGATCGTACCAGCCTGGGCGACAGAATGAGATCCCCATCTGCTAAAAAAAAAAAACAATAAACTGGGACAGGTGCGGTGGCTCACGCCTGTAATCCCAGCACTTTGGGAGGCCGAGGCAGGCGGATCACCTGAGGTTGGGATTTCGAGACCAGCCTGACCAACATGGAGAAGCCCCATCTCTACTAAAAATACAAAATTAGCCAGGCGTGGTGGCGCATGCCTGTAATCCCAGCTACTCAGGAAGGCTGAGGCAGGAGAATTGCTTGAACCCGGGAGGTGGAGGTTGTGGTGAGTCAAGATCTTTCGTTACGCCCCACAGGAAAGCTTGCGTGGTTTGCCCCCGAGGCAGTATGGATTCCCAGACATGGAGATTTCCCTTTCGGAGGAGGCTCTGCCTGTGTCGCGCTCGGCCCCAAGGTCCAGCCCGTGCCCACGCGCTGGACCCAAAGGGTGAGGCCCTACAAGGCTTAATAAGCGGTTTCCACTTAGATGCCAGTTCTACCCGCAAAACGAGATTCCCAGATGCCAAATGTCAATGACCTGGACACCCAACCCTCACGCCTGCCTGAGTACCCACTTGCGAGTCCCAAGCTCCCCCCATTTATAGCCCCAGCCCAGCAGGTCCAGATTCCACGCCTAGTTCTAG